AATATGGAATTCATATTCTCTATATTTTATGAGAAAACAAAATTGTACTTTCCAACGAAACAAAACTGAGATTATTGTACACTACAAAACTATGAAATTTTTCTGGATAAAAATTTTTATGAAACTCATCAAAAACAATAGAAATATTCCAGATAATGGAATTTAAACAAAATTTGAAACAAACTTTGTATAAAGAATGAAAAACAAAAAAAACATACAAGTCTTTACAAGATTGATTCTGACACGTTAAAGCGAAGGAAAAGAAAAACATATTGATATAAAAAAATATGGCTTATTTTTCGAATTACAAATGGTTTATATTTGCACAAGAAGCGCCTGTAAGTAGGCAACTGGCCAAGAATTGGTATATAACCTCCAAAGGTATTCCACGTCACATGTTTAGTAACTCTCTGTATACATAAATCGACAATCCTCCTACACGCACGATGTCGTTTTCACACACCGAAATCCGTTCGATTTGAGATCGAGCATGTAAGTAAAGTAAAGGGGAGAAATAGACAAGCTTTTGCTATAAAGTAGACGCGTCTATGGAGTATTCGAGTTAAGCAGAGAGATGGCGCATCAGATTTTTCTTTCTTACTGTACTATTGGATATTCTGAATCACGATTCATGCAATCTTTTTCATTGGTATGAAAGCGTGGAACATCATATTTGCAATTCGATATATGGCAATATTTGAATTAATATTACATATTAACAGATTTGTGCCAAGGAGGTGTATATTTTTCCTCGTTAAAAGAATTTAACGTGTTTCAAAAAGATCTTTTGTCAAATTTTCTGTTTTCTCGGCAGATGAGATTATCTATGTTTTTTTTAAACAGCTTTTTAAATTATCTCTTAATTTACTTTTTCTTTGCATCCAACGATTCATAATTCATTAAGGAAGGCGAAAACTTTTCATGAACAATTTAATCTCATCTTCATTTTTTATTTAATCCATTCGATTCATTTTTTAACTTTCAAAACTGGAAAAGAAACTTTTACTTGAAGTGGGGGGAAAAAACGGGAAAAAATATGTATACACTAGTCAAGAAATATCAAGAAGTTTTCCCAAATTAAATATTTCATTTACTTTAGTAACGTTTCCTTGCTAGTTATATGGTGCTTCAATTTTCGTAATATCATTTAATTAAATTATGCAGGAATTTAAGCATTTCGTTCACGTATGACGAGAAATAATAGCGCATGAGAGGGAACTTGGTTAATAAAGGTTATAGTTTAAGATGCATTTATAAAATAAGTTTCGAGAAAATTAAATTGCACTTAGTAGTATATCAGATTAAATTAAATATGTTTGCTTTATAATAACTACGGTATACATATATATGTATATGTATATGTATATATATATATATATATATATATATATATATATACGTGTTTCAAAATGTTTCAAGCAAGATATAATATATCCTTTTGCATTAATAATATTTGCATTCTAGATTATGTTTGATTGATATCATGATAATATGAAAATTATTTCGATATTGCGAATTTAAACTCATTTCTAGTATTTTAATTAATTTTTTCATGTCTGTTTGCGTGTTTTTTTCTTGAACAGAATTCTTGAACGAAGTGAATTAATGTAAGTACATTGTTAAATATGAATATTAGGATATATACATTAATTCTCACTTTTAATATTATGTGCATTAATTTTCATTTTATATTTTTTACATTTATCGAGAATTTTATTAATAAATTTTATTTTAATAATATACGAAGCATAATTTTATAATTTAATTTTATAGTACTTTACCTTAGATAATTCAATAAGATTAAAAGGAATTCAAATTAAATTCTATAAAATTATAAGGAAAATTTAAAAAAAAAAAAAATTAATCTTATTTCATAGAATAATTAATCGAATATTCATACATTTCATAAAAGTTATTATTTCATGTTTTATTAATATTTTACATTTTACATATTTATATCTCAAAGCAGAGACATTTATAATATATATTTATAATAGATAACAGACTATAAATGAAACGATAAACGGAAGATAACACGAATATAATAGATAACAAATTTATAAAAATATAGAATAAAAATTACAACATTTATTTAGCTTACGAGTTTATTTTACTTTGATATTTCATTCCAAATTTTTATTTTAAACATTTTATTCCAAATATTTTATTGCAAATAACTTCGTTAAATAATTCATCCAACTCGACAAATATATTAACATATATCCTTTACATTATATAATAACAAAAATTTTTCTTCGTTGAAAGAGGTATTCAACACAAGGATATCAAACATCTCAAATTCAATGCAAACACACCAGATATCCCATCCACTTATATCTATCTATCCTCTACTGTGTATCTAATAATCTCAGCTTGCAATCTCGTACGTAGGATTATCCAATGTCTACGTATCGTTCAAAATCGGCCATCGGACAGATATAACATCAAGTAATCATCGATCAATTTCGGTTCAATTGGTAAGGTAGCGCGAAAAATTCGATTTCGGCTTAATTGATGCGCTTGCTGCGCGCGATGCGCGCGTTGCATTCGAGAGATTGCGCATGCGCATGTCCCCTCGCGTGCTTCGTTAATCACGCACGTTGACGGTTGAATCTTGGCAAAAAGAAAAGGGGAGAAGGAAACGAAGAAGTGAGCGCATTTGTGAGTGTGCGGGAGGGGAAGGGAAGAGGTAAGGCATAAAAGACATGAATGCGAGTCGTTGCTCGCTTTGCTGTTCGCACAGGAAGCTTCATCGAGAGTTATACGCGGGACTGTACTACGTGCACGCTTCGTTTATCGAATTTCTCTCTTTCTCTCTTTCTATCTCTCTTTCTTTCTTCTTTTTTTGTTTTCATCTTTTTCTCATTCTCTCTTCTAGTTACCTTCCATAAAATAATAAACGTTCCTTTTTTTTTTTTTTTTACTTTTGTAATAATAGCGAATTGTAATAATATCCTTTTTAAAGGATAATCGTAGATTATTCTGATTTCATTTTTTGTAATCGTGTTTTTTTTAATTGTTTCGAATAATTGGAAAGAAAAAGATTGATTACTTGATTTTTTTTTTAGTTGTTTGTAAATTGCAATAATTTTCAAAATATTTATTCGATTTGATAAAAATATTTATCGGAAAACATTTGGATGATAATGCTTGAACTTAAAAATAAAATTATTATTAAAATTATTGGACTAATTTGTTAAAACAAAAAAAAGCAATTTAAAAAAGTTAAACAGATAAACATTGTAGATATTGCTAATAATAGGTTTGTAATAGGTATTTATTTTAAGATATTTCCTAAATTGATAATTTTTTAATATTATTAGTTTCATATTTTTTTATACATAAATAAAATAAAGTATAAAAAAAAATGTGGTTTCATTTTTAAAAATTGAAAATTATTATTATTATTATTATTTTTTATAAAAATAGATGTTTTAAAAATTTTAATCTAAAACTTTATTATTTTTAATTATATATAAAGTTTTTCTGATAAACTGTTTGAAATGATATATCTTCCCACGGAAAAAATGAACAATTTCTGATTAAAATCTTGAAAAATATCATAATCACGTATTCGAGTATTTATAGAAGTGTGAAAAATATATATTTATTGAAATTATTTGTTATATTGTAGTTGACCGACATACTTACAAAGTTTGCGATTTATTCGATAAAATAATCTGTTCGTTATCTAAGTATGACATTTTTTTTTTAAACGTTCATTTTTAAATGTCATTCGAGTATAAATAACGAAGATTGTATCGATAATCTATATTATATCCAATACAAAAAACACTAAACTTTATATAAATGTATATAATTAAATTCTTTTTTTTCTTTTTTTTAGAAAGATTATCTAACAATTTAATTTTACTTTCGAATCGCATATCAATATATATAACATTTTCAACAACCGATATTCACATCACGGACTATACTAGAGACCATTTTCTTCCTTGGAAAATGTATTACTTTACCTTCATTAGTTTGCACGTTATCCAAGTTCAAACACGCTATATAATTTTCCATTTAATCTTGTAAATGAGCTCAAGGTTTATTAATGAACATGAAGCCGATGTGAACTAAAATTTCACAATTATATGGATTATTATCGAAACATTGGAAATTTATTATTAATAAGAAAGATCTTTATCTAAATCTACCGATAATTTATATCGATTATCGAATAGACGAAAAATAAATTGGGATGCTTTATCAGGAGAAAAATATTAATTTCCCTATACGTGCAATGCTTTATCATGAAACGAATATATCATTAGTTTTAAGAAACGTTTTTTAAGGCGACGCAATGATACAAATGAGGGCCACTGGCATGGGATATGACTCATCTAACGACTTGTTTTACTTGACGAACATCCATAAAACCGATCTGATGGCTTACAAATAAGCATACTCGACACAAGCCTATTCCGATATTTCGCTGACTACGAATATTATTTTTACCCACTTGCCTTATCCCTATTTGCCGGGCTTCGTGAAAAAGAAAAATAAATCTATCGATATATCGATTTTTTTTATATTTCAATTTATTTGAATAGCATTTGTTTAAGAAGTCTTGTTCCCAAATAAACTTTCAATAAACTAAGAATAAAATACTCGACTAAAGATTAAAAAAAAATTCTATCTTACACATATATATATTTTTACAACATTTAAAAATTAAATAAATAAATTATTTTTTAATACACACAATCAATTCTTTTATAACACGGTATTGTAAAAATTTAATAAACTTAACGATTCTCGTACACGAATATATTTCCATCGCACTGTTTTTGTTGACATACCTCCGATTCCTAGCTTTAATACAATTTCCACGAATTAATACGTGTCTATAGGAGAGTCGACTGTGTGTACACATTTTCGACATTCTGCGCGTGAAAACAAATAGCGTTCGCATGGAGATTACGGAACATTCGTATTGTATGTAAACAGAAGGACAAGAGTTATAAGAGGAAACGATGTCGATTTCGTTTCAGTTATTGGGCGGTGCTTGCTTCAGCCACGGCCCGTACACGTTCTACAAAGCGGTTAGAATAGGAAATGGTCGTGTACTTCGTCTCGGAAGCTTCTTCCTCACGAAATTGTGGAGTGATGCCGATCTTGTCAGCATCGGGGAACTTCAGCTGTTGTGGATGGACAGCCGGGGACCGAATCAACCTCTGGCATCGTTGCGGTTGTACTTCTTGCCGGAGAACACCCCGGATGGCCGAAGGGACACGCATGGAGAGGTGAGTGGTTTTTTGCTTTCTTATTTTTCCCCCCTTTTCCTCTTATTTTTCGAGGACGAATTATCGCGTATATGTATGTGTGTGTGTGTGTGTGTATGTGAAGCAACTTTATTAATTTAATTTAACTTGATTGTCGACAAAAGGATTGCAAGGATTACTCTTTTATAATTATATCGTTCAATAAATAATTAATAATTAATAAACATATGGAAATTTGCAAAGATTTATTAGAAGATTTTCTGATTCTGATTTTCTGATCATTGATAGTCTTAAATTAAAATAGAATTATTTTTATAGCGGGAGAAATAAATACTAACTTCAAATTTGATTCAAGATATTTTCGAGTGTTTATTTTCTTTATTGTAAAATTATCTTATTATAATTTAAGACTATGAATAAGATACATTGCATAATAAATATTTGCAATACTCTATTTTTGTAATAGTTATTTATTGATCGAAATAATTATAAATACGTAACGAGCAATTTTGTCCGTCGAATTGTGTACTGAGAAAAGTTAAAAAAACAATCTATTTATATTTCTCATCCTCCGAGATGAATAGATTAGATTCTTTTTTTTTTTTTTTTTTTAAACTGTTCTTATGGAATCGATATTTTTAGGATTCGTATAATAAGAGTTTCGCGAAAACAAGTTATTTTAGAACATTTCCATAAGATAAATAAAACCGTTAGGTATTAATTTTATTTGACGATATAATATAATATTTATATTGTAATTATATAGGATATAGGATATATCAGAATAGTGGTATATAAAGTAGACAGTTTTGTAGATAAAAAAAAAAAAAATAGATACTTTTTATATATGTATATATATATATATTTTTTTATTCTTCATACGTATCTATTAAATTTCGTTTCCATTCGGTTCGATCGTTGATAGAAAGTAAAGTTTCGAATGTAATGAATCAGACGAATTGCTACATTGCTCTTATTGCGAAAATAATGAATTGGAGAAGCAATCTTAGTTCATAACGACAGCACCGCGTAAATAGCTATATTCTGTAAAATAGAAAGTAATATTTAAACCGGTAAATCGGCTAGGATTGTTTCGTTGTAATCTTATTGTGAAAGTAAGAGAGGAACATTTTCTTATTTCATAAATGAATAAGAATTATCGAGGACTGGGCTAAAGTAATTAAGATTGTAAACGTTACGGCAATCTATGTATCAGATTTTGTTATCTTAAAGATTTTTTTATCTTTGAGATAATAAAATAAATACATGGAGTAATCAAAATGAAAGTGTTGGAGTATTTAAATAAAAACGTGTCAATAACGTGATATTTTATTCATAGAATAAAATTATAAAAATTTTTTTTTTTTCAACGACACGCTTCAAAAAGATTTCATTATTGAAATATTTTGCAATAAAATTTGAATAAGAGTCGTTTTATTAAAAACTTTGAATACGCGTTTTTTTTTTTTTTTATCTCCAGTCTTGAATTCATCACAAAGTTCAAAGTATAGATATAATAAGTGGTAAAATAGAAAATCTCGCAGTTAAAAATACGTAGAAAACTTAATCTCGTTTCACGATAGAACGGAGAGAATTACTCGACTGTAATCTTTTATTCGAGTTAATTGCCCCAGATAAGATAATAAGCAATCTTTTTCCTCCAAGTTTCAAATATAAAGTGTATTAATTGAACATGTAATCAGAGTGGAGCAATGTTTAAAAAAAAAAAAACGGCACGGGAAATAATATAGGATTACAATATTTATAATACAAACTAACGGTAAATAATCATAGAAAGTTACGTGCACAGTCCAGATTTCGCGCTTTTTTTAAATCGTGATTAATGATTTCGCTTCGAAATTAGAATTAATTATTGTTGCGCATAGATTAGGATCGAAATAATATTATGGAAATAACTTAAACGTGGATATATATAACGTATACAGTTTTTATTTAAACGAGATCAAAAAATAATCTCGCTAAAAGCATCTCCACCATCGATTTTTGTAGGAACTGTAAAAAAAAAAAAAAAAAAAAAGGAAAAAAAAAACAAATTCATAAAATTTCGACGAATTTTGAGAAATAAATTAAAAAATAAATCGATTAATAAAATTTTTATATTAAATACGATAAAAATTTGATTCGAGCGAAATATGAATATACATGGAAGAAACAATTGTGTCGTTTCTATCCATTTATATTTTAATTCTTCAATAGGAATAGAAAATTTTTTTATCATTTTCCCTATTTTTAAAATAACTTATTTTGATTTTTTTTTTCATATAAAATCGAATCAACGGAATTTAAAAATATTTTCGAAAAATTGATAAAATATAAAATATCGTCCGTATATATAAATTTCTTCGCTCCAAGAAATTTGGCTTTGGCTCGATTGTCGAAAATTTTCGTTTTTCGAGTAATAAAAATTTTTACGACCGACTTACGATCTTTTCCACTAATCAGGCCAATAAAATTTAGTTGCTCTTCCTTTTGAAAATATATAATCGTTATCGATGCGTATCTTCGAGCAACGATTATCCTTTCAGTTGTAATAATTTGAAAGATCGTCGAGCGATTACGAGTGTCGTAATGCCAGAATTTTTCTGAATTCTGTCGGCTAATTTTAGCGATGCAATGCAACCTTGATCTAATTCATTGCTCGACCACGTTACTCGAAACAATTCTACGTTTCATGTCGAACATACATCGTGTGCATATTTTTTTTTTTTCTTCAAACGTGATTCTTGCAAGATCACATTTTTTTTTTTTTTCTATAGTGCGCGGAATATTGCTTTCCAAAATGGATAAATCATCGAAGCAATCACGTATGTGCACACATATGTGTGTATATAATTACAGTACAGTAATTTATACGTGTTATTTTGAACGATTAGCCAGCTTTATTATTTATAAAAAAATTGCCAGATTTCAGTATTCGATAAATTCTCTTTTAATTACGCTTATTCCAAATTTAAATTCGCAAATTTAAAAATATCCTGACGAGATCCTGGTATTTTTATTATAAATTATAAATATTCATATATATGATTCAACATTATTAAATATTATTAAATATTTTTATTACAAAATATAATTTAATAATATTAGCTTGCTAAAATTCTTTAACTTATCCTTAAAGCTAGCTTATCATTCTCGTATATTCGTTTTCGATTATCGATCATCATCATCATCATCTTTCTTTCTTCACAATATTTACATTAATCGAAATAAATAAGTAAAAAAAAAAAAAAAAAAAGAATGAGATTGAAATTATAATCAGTCTCAAATTGAAAACAAAACAACGCGCCATCGTTCTCCGTCGTCTTATCTAAAATTTGCCCCCCCCCCCTCCGCCCCTGGAAGGCGTATAATTGTAATTTAACCGGTAATCGGTGGCGAACACTCGAACGTCTCGTTCCACAACGAGGAAATACTCTTTCGACGTTGTAAACCGGTTTACATTCTGTTTTTTCCACGTTGCTCGAACATTTCATCGGCAAAAATCCTCCCCAAGAGTACGCATTACGCGAAACGTGATTTTTTTCCCCTCTCCTCCTTCCCCCCTCCCCCTCCGTCATGACCATTAACCTTTCTCAATTCTGTACTTTCGATATATGCCTGCACAGTCATCCTCCCATCTGTATTATCTCACAAAGAAATTCAATTCGAAATTCTTGGCAAGCATGATGCCCTCGCGCAGAAACATTTCTCGTTGAATGGAAAATAACCTCGAGTGGAAATTAGTTTTCATTAAAAAAAATTTTTGAATGTTTTGAAACAAATTTTTTTTCGTCTCTCTTGACATATTAGTGATTATTATTTATTGTGTTGAAAATAAAAAAAAAAAAAAAAAAAAATAGAAAAATTGTATATAAAAAAAATATCGGTTATTTATTTATAAAGCAATTTAAGTTAGAAAGTAAAATGAAGATAGAATCAATCTTACTCCATCTTTATTTCATCTAACTTAAATTGCTTGTATAACTATACAAGTTTCAACCGATATATATATATATATATATATATATTAACTTTTATAATTAATTGTTTTGACTTCTAAAATCGATTTTTTAAAGGCGTGCCACGAATATATTAACGCCTTGTATAATTCATTACGCTCAACGCATAATAATACGTTGGAAAAATATCAATTGAAATCAATCGTAACGCAACATTTATTTATGGAAAAAAAAAAAAAAAAAAAAAAAANAAAAAAAAAAGAAAATGCATTTATATATCCATGTTAGCAAAATTAATTAATAACGCACACGTTTAATTTCTTTGTAACAAAATGTATCGGTATCTCGAGTCGAAAGCCAATTTCCACCCACGCAGTATCAAAGGTACCAGTTTAACTAAAATTAATCTGTCTTATAATAACGCGATTACCGCGGCCACGATAGTGTTCAGGGCACATTCGTGTACTCGGAATCAAATTCACCTTGTATTATGCTAACGACATGCTAATGGCCCCCTTCTTTAACGACCGTTTCCTTTTGTGAGCTCGCTTTTGATTCCTCGAGTTCTCCTCCTCGACGTCCATGGCTTCCCATCTGGCGATATTAATTACGAAATATTCCTGTCCACCGGGCCGGAGAAACAAAAGGATGGGGAAAAAAAAAAAAAAAAAAAAAAAAAATCAAAATTTAATATTTCGGATATTATAAACTTTCGCAGTATCGAGCCCCTAAATTGCATTATGCCGTCCCCGTGAACTATTCTATAAATATTCAACAAGATATTATCGATCAATTGTGATGTAAATCGACTCGGTCGATAAAATAGTTAATAATCGCAAGTTTATATTTATTAGCGTGAAACGGGGATGCAAACGAAGAGCGATGGGAGGCAAAAGAGAATCAATTGGGTCGAAGAGTAGAATGGAGAGAGAGAGAGAGAGAGAGAAAGGAAAAAATGAAACGAATGGCGAAGTTGAAAAATTCATGAAATTCCGAGGCACGATCGCGAAAACACAATATAGATTTATTTCCCTCTGTTAATAGGGGGACGAGAATCGGTGT